ATGATATCAGACACTGGCTGGCCCTTGCTGTCCTCTTCAGGCCTTAGGACGTGGTTGCCTCTGCTATGCAGGTTCAACATATGGCTTGGGATGCATGCTTTCAGGCACGAGGAAGGGGCTTATCTCCCCACCTTCCCCCAGGACTCCCCCAAATAATCAGAAACAGAGGGGATGCAGCTTATGTCACCTAATCTTTCCCTTCCTCACTGCCAAAATGGAGATTGGGAGTTCCCCCTCATTCTGGTCAGCAGAATGTCCTAGATCAAATCAAGCCTGAACTCTTCCTAGAAGCTAACATGACTCAACTGAAGCTATCGTACTTTGGTCACATTATGAGAAGACAAGACTCACTACAAAAGACAATAATGGTAGGAAAAGTTGAAGAAGCAAGAAAAGAGGAAGAGCCGAAATGAGATGGACTGATTCAGTTGAGGAAACCAGCCATGGCCTCAGTTTGCAAGACCTCAACAGGGCTGTAAGTGATAAGATGTTTTGGAGGTAATTAATTCATAGGGCCGCCATAAGTCAGAAAAGACTTGACTGGGGTTGCCAGTTCCCAGTTCCCAGCAGGGGTTCCTCTGCTTTTTGGGGCTTTTGCCCAGTGTTGGTCAGCTGCCCAGTAGGGGAAACCCTGCCTCCAAACAACTACATCTGGGCGCAATGTTTCCGATGTGATGCTGTTACCCGGAAGTGGTGTCATCACATTGGGGATGGCACTCGTGACGCTATGGGTTGAGGGCAAAACTCTATGGTAATTCTGGCCCATAACCATAGAGTTTTATTTTTAAACCAGAGAATCAGCAATGTCCCAGAATGCCCCCCAAATCTCCCTACGGGGGCAGTATGGAGACCTGGCTACACTAAACTTGACAGCACTTTGCATGCATACACACACAGAGGTCAGCAAGGCTTTTAAAGGTGGACTGATCAGCCTTTTCCTTTTTTTATATAACTTTTTATTGCATTTTATCACCTACATCCTAAAAGGAACAGGGGGTAAACACTATATCTAAAAGAAAAGATAAGACAAGAATCGTGATCTAAATGTTACAATGTATATATAAGAATCCTACAATAATCACTTATATTCTGTTGAAATATTCGTTTATCTTCTACATTTCTTCTTCTTGTACTTCAGATTCATTTTAGGTATTTTAGCTGCAGCTTCCCCCTTCTCCGAGTCTGGGGTTTCCGGGGTACTGCTAGAGCTATTCGAGGTGTCTTCTGTTCCTCCATCATTGGTTCCCTCTTCTTCAATATTGTCCACAGGTTTTTTGTCATCTTTACTTGGGCTTTGTTGTTGTTTCAAAAAAATCATTGGCTTTTTGGACAGAGTCAATTTTATTCTTCTTATCTTTATAGTTGAATACAGGTCCCGTTGGAAAAATCCATCTATAAGCAATTGAGTTGTTGTGGAGGAAGAAGGTTAAATCTTTTTATTGCCACCTTCGCTTCTGCATCCCGAATGGAATGTCCTTTAAAATTTTAACTTCTTCGTCTTTAACCTTCAGAACTTTTCCAGATGTGGCTTTCAAAACATTGTCTCTGGTAGATCTCTTAGAGAATTTCATGTATATTTCTCCAGGCAGTTTATTGTTTATAAAATCTGGATAGTTTTGGTAAGCCAAGTCCATATCATTTTGCAGCGCCTCTTGCTTAAGATCTGTCATTTTCTCCTTTTTGCTCAGGAACACCTTGAAAGCGTAAGACATACGTTGATCTTTCCATTTGGAGTTGCAGAAATTGGCCTTATCTGAGACTCTCTCTTTTTCCACTTCCCTCAATTTTTGTTCAATATCTTTGGTCTTTGTTTCAACTCTCTTGATGGCTCTGTCTGTTTTGTCTGCTCTTTTATCCGTGTTAGTTGCTTTTAGACATCATCCAGCTTACTGTTGATATTAGACATCTGCTCCAGCAGGGGGCGCAATGCCATAGCCAGCATATTGGGGAAGTCAGCAGCTGCTTCCTGTGTCTGGGTGGGAGTCGTTGGTATGGTATTTCCTGTGAGAGGTTTCTTTTTCGGCGCCATTCTTCTCCCTCTTCCAGACATTGTTTATACAAGAAGAAAGTTTCTGGATTCAAAGTCAAAGTTCTCCAATTTAAATACGCTCTGGATTATTTTGCACCTTTTGGTTTCAGTTATAATCGCATATGGTTAGTTTTGCTTATTTCCTTTTCTTTCTCATTCAGGGACTGTTGAGTTTCGGGGGGGGGGTGATTCCTCAACTCTTCCGCCACCTGCCGCTTGTTTCTCAAGTTAAATCCAGTGGACAAACACTTGGCAGCTTACATGGGGGATCGCTTAACTCACTGTTTTTTCATATTTAAATCATTGTAGGAGGGAAATCATGCTAGATCTCTTGTCCACTCATCTGGCAGCCAGCTCTTATCACCATAATGGCTTCACGACAGCAGGACCTCTCAGGGTAGGAGAGCCTTGATCCCTCGGCTGTTGCCTCAGGAGCAGCTCTCCTATGCACCCCAGGCTGGGAGTCCCCTACAAGGACTCCAGGAGGGCCCGGATTTGGCCGGGACCCTTCCTGTCCACCGCAACTCAGCACGTCTCCATCAGGAGCTCGATGGGACACGTTTGAGCCTCAAGTCGCCAAAACCGGAAGTCTGATCAGCCTTTTCCTGATGGTGTTCCATCATTCTGCACTCCTCCTATATGATGAACAACCATCCCAGCCTGTGGGACAGTTGTCAGGTCTTGCTTCCTACCCTCACCCTTTAAGGCCTGTTTCAAGCCACTGACCTGCTGGCTTGTCAGCATTTTGGCCAAGGTTATGTTGCTGATATTTTTATTCACCTCAAGGGGAAGCTTGGATATCTCCAACTGATCTCCAGGCTACATAGATCAGTTCCTCTGCAGTAGGGTTGCCAGACCCACTCTGGGGGTGAGGGAACCTCTGCCTTTGTGGGGCGCTTCCCTGCCATCAGCCAGCTGGCTGGTGGGGGGAAATCCCATGCCCAACTGGCCTAAAAGGCAACTTGATGATGTCACCTGAAAGTGACATCATCACATCACCAACATTACACCCCTCCCAAAACACCACTGTCCCCAGGCTGCATCCCCAAATCTCCAGGAATTTCCAAACCCCAAATTGGAACCCTGATTCCTGGTCCCTTTCTCAAGCTGACTCACATAGCAACTAGCTCACTAGCAGCTGCCACCATGCAGGTGACTGCAGTGCAGAGCCAGGATATCCTGCATGGACTCTGATTAGTGGGTTTGCTCCCTGCCAACCTGCCATTGGTTGCTGGGTGTGCACATGTTCCACTGTTGTATCCGAACTGTGTATTAAAAAACAAAAACAAAACAAAAAACTACCTAAAGAATGTACTGTTTTGCCACTTTGTGTCCAATTTAGCAACATAACCTTTCTGCTCTTTGTATCCAAGCAAGAACTATTTCAATCCTATTTTCTCTAAAATAATGCTCAACATCTGTGCCGTGGTCCACTGCATTATACATTACTCATACACACCAGGCAGTAGCAGCTCAAGCTGTTTCCCAAGGCAAGCCTCTGTCCTTCATTAGCCAAACTGAAATCTGAAATAACCTTGTAGAAGTTACCGGAAATCAAAGACATAATTCCAGATTTCCAGTGATGAAAGGAACAGAAAACATACTCCTGTCAGCAGTGGAAGTGTTTCAAAATACTAAGTGCTGGAATCCAGGTCTATTTCTGATTGTGTGAGATTTGCATTAATTCTCCCTTCACTGCAGACCATTACATAGTACCCTGTGCTAATCCTGAAAGCTCACGGACCTGCTGGAGCAGTTCTGTAGGGAACACAAAAGGATGCACTGGGAAGGAGAAGGTGGGAAATTTCTGTTCCATGTGTACAACTCGACTTGAATTACATAGGATTCAGTGCACAATTATTTTATCCTGAAAAATCCACCTCAGTTCATTGTAAACATGAATTTTTATATACCTATCCTTATTAATTTGTGTATTAAAAATGAGAACACACAATAAATTCAATGTTTATATTGTCGCTCTTTGCATTTTAAGACAGCCATATGAAAAGAACATAATGTATATCCCAGTGCCCCTTTTCCATTGTGTCCCAATGTGAATTTAGGGTTGAACAGAAATATTATATTTAAATGCTATGCATTTTGAGCAACATGATCACGGTTTGAGGAATGTGGGTGCTGCCTCCCCATGTGTGTTCTCACATTATTGATCCAGTAATGTCTAGACAAATGAACCACTAGGGCAGAACCAATTGCATAATTCCTTCTCTTATAAACAAAACAGGAATTCAAGATATCCAAATTTACCATTCTAGCAGCCAGCAAACATTAAATAGCTTCACACTAGCATTAAGGTGAAGAGTGGGAGGGCTTCTAGTGTCCTGGCCCCACTGGTGGACCTCCTGATGGCACCTGGTATTGTTGGCCACTGTGTGACAGTGTTGGACTGGATGGGCCATTGGCCTGATTCAACATTGGCTTCTCTTATGTTCTTATGTTTAGTTGGGCACATGGAATGGAAAACACCATGCAGATGGACCCACTAAATCCTCATCTTTACTGTATCTATTTTGTCTTGCAAGTTCACCTAGATACATTAGCTGATTATGAATATCATTGGACAATACTCAAAAAATTGAGTTTCTATAAAAGTTATAAATGGGTAATGTAAAATGAGATTTTACACATGTGTTTTTGTCCAACTCACGGATGTTAATAACAAAATGCACCTGTTTGGAATCTCATTTTACATTATGAGTTAAAGAACTTGTCTGAGTAATGAAGTAAGTAAAGTGTCTTTACTTTAAAATATTAAAATATTTTAAAAAATAAATTGTTAATTAAAATTTCATGTAATAATTTTGGGAGAAGAAAGAAGATGAAGAAGATATGAAGATAAAGCATGCAAATGAAGTTTTGTTTTTCATAATAGTAATGATTTTGGTGGTGGTGTTAAATTATAAAATTCTTTCTCCAATAAAACAAAATGCAAAAATAAAAATAAAAATATTACCGTGTTGAATAATGTCAGCAATTACTGCCAGGTAGACCTCTGGATTTTGATCAGTGGTAATCACCTGATTGCTTTTGTCCGTATTGAGTATCTCATACAGAATGGCTGAATTCTCAACCCCACAGAGCAGAAGAACCACATTTTCAGGAGGCTGAAGAACCTCCTCCAAAAAAAGACTTTTGTTTAAATCCAGGCAGTTTAGAAGCCCACTCGACAATATCAGTAGTTTACATGTGTAAGAGCACAAGGATTGCAGCTCCAAGTGGTGAAGAGACGCAGCATCTATATTGTAAAGCAAGATTCCGTTTTCTAATGTGATGTGCTTGAATATTGACTTTAAATACGACGCCCATTCTTCTGAATCTTCTTCGTAGATTATGAGAATGTCTTGTGGGTTTTCTGAAAGGGAAAGAATTAAAAATGATTATCACTTTATATTACAACCTGACAGGCTGGCTTGCATGCCAAAATTTCTATGAACTTGTTCCAGGGAGGAATTCATATGAAACCCACATTTAGATTATCACATTTAGATAAAGTTTCTTCTGAGAAAGAATCTCCAACATCATTTTGGACATATCTAGTGATAAGCTGGGTATCAGCAGTTTATGGAACCCTTTTTTGGGTTTTCTCCAAATAAATCCTCCAGGTTTTTAGCTGGAAAAAACAGACACTTTGAATTTTGATTAGGGTTAAATATCACCACTGAGTCTAGAGCAAACCAAAGGTGCTTGGATACCACCTGTCTGTTAAGAAATAGCCCTATAATTATGAGCACAACATGGCTCTTACATCACGTGCTCTTACTCAGAAGTATCTAATAACCAGCTGCCGAAACAAATCCACACTGCTGGCTTTTTAAGAAACTTATTTCTGAGATTGACTTTGAACAAGTGTTTGATGTGCATAGAGTTGGCAGTTTCCCACTGAAATCTACGTGTCCTTAGTGACACTTCTTAAATCTGTGTGGTTTACCAAGCTGAAGGATTTGAGGCTGCAGGGTGAGGACATGGCTATAGACAGCAGTAGTTTGAATATCTTTCTGAAATCCTACCTAGTAAAAAGACACTCCATTTTTAAAGATATTGGTCCTCAAAAATAATTGAGTTGGGTCCAACCAGCTTTTTCATTCAATCTTAGCCAACTCCCTTTCTCATTATAGCTTCTGTCCTGCATGGCTTTTGCATTGGCAGTTCCCATGATCCTCTCGATAGCCTTTCTCAGAGGTCAAAGTGGTCTTTCCCTTTTCAACCAACACATGTCTTCCTCTGTTCAGACAAAAGACCAAGCTGGTAGGAGACAAGAAATTTACTACTTCTTATGGTTATTTATGTAGCACTTTCCTAATTGATAAGGTTGCCAGCCTCCAGGTGAGGCCTGGAGATCTCCCAGAATAACAACGGATTGCCAGACTATAGAGATATGTTCCCCTGAAGAAAATGGCTGCTTTGGAGGGTGGACTCTGTGGCCTCATATCCTGCTGAGGTCCCTCCTTCTTCAATCCCTGCCTTCTCCAAGCTACACCCCCAGAATTTCTCAAGACAAAGATGACAACCCTTCTCATTAGTCCAAAATGAAACGGCTCATGGGTCTATACAAAGCTTTATCCACTGGTCTAATAACATCACTATTTTCTTTTTAATGGTTCTAAAACATGTACCAAGCCTTTCTGAGAGAGGGATGCCTTTCAGGTGGCTCACAGCAAGAAGAGTGTAAGATGATAAAATAGAATTGTAAAAAACATAAAATATAAGCAATGAATTAAATCATAAAAGCAGGAGGCAAACTTCAGAACATTTTACATTCCGGTGGCCTAATGGCTGATGACCAAAAAATGTTTTTGAGATGATAAGGCCATTTCAATTTCCTATGTAGTCATAATTGGTTTCAGTTTACCTCATTTTAGTTTCTATCAGGACTTATTCTTTTTTCGTTTACTTTTGTTTCTTTTACACCAATTTTCACACTCTTTATAAATAGTCACAATTCAAAATCCATTTTTAAACCTTTTCTATATTAAAACCCATTTGTAAGCAATGAATGTAAAAGACAATATGACACAAGAGTTATTTCTTAAATGGTGGCAACAGAAAAGATAAACTGGTGTAAATATAAGGATTCATATGTTCATTTCTCATCAGGAAGAAATGAAATCAAAATGTGAATATTTGAATTAAACCAGATAGATTTTGTAATTCAATCTTATCCTTAATTTCGTGGTTGCAAAGGGAGCTCTCCAAGCAAGGAGTTGAAAAACACTATACTCTACAACTCTACTAGCTGTATCTCAGAGGATAGAGGAACCTCATCCCAAGGGCCATACTGGCCATTACGGCCACAGGGAATTCCCAGTGGGCTGATGGACTGCCCTCCCACTTGGGCCAATCAAGCCCACAGGACAAAGGCCACACATGGATGTTAGCCACACATGGATGTGCCCACAAATTAGTCACACATGGATGTACCCAGCCCGCAGAGCTGGGCATAGGCAGGCTTATAGCCAGGGTGGGGCCCTGGGGGAGGCACCCCCTCCCAAATCAGCTCCACCCCTCCTACTGCTGCCGTCCTCCTCCCCCACCATTCTCGCAGCAACTGGTGCAGTACTTGGCTGGGAGGGGAGAGGAAGTCTGGGGTGAGTGGTGGGCTGCCTTCCTCCTTCACTGCCCTCAAAGCAGCCAGCAGAGTACTTGGCCAGGTGGGGGCAGGGCTGGGAGGGGGAGGATGATTGGAGTTGGATGGGAGATGACCACGGGGTCTCCATCACCTCTTGCCAGACTCCTGATGTCTTTTTCCACCAGCTGAATTCTGGTGATATTGATCCCGACCACCTCCTCGCCTGCAGGTTGGAAATGCCCATCTGTTAGCCTAGAGCAGTGATGGCGAACCTTTTAGAGACCGAGTGCCCAAACTGCGACCCAAAACCCACTTATTTATCGCAAAGTGCCAACACGGCAATTTAACCTGAATACTGAGTTTTTACTTTAGAAAAAACAACTCACACATTAACTTAAGATGATCCAAACAAAGTAAGGAAAGCAATCCCAAATGCTTTCATTTACTTAAAATTATTTGACAGAGAATTCGACACTTTAATGATGGTCTGGCCCTGGCTGGGGCGATGGCACGCGTGCCCACAGAGAGGGCTCTGAGTGCCACCTCTGGCACCCGTGCCATAGGTTCGCCACCACTGGCCTAGAGTGTCAATTGCAAATGCCTGATAGTAAAGGGGACAGAGTTTTCCTCGGCAGAAAAGAAAAGGTGTCTTTCTTACAAGCAGAGGATTCCATGAGAGATAAAGAAGGACTGAAATTATCTAGAGTATGATGAAACAGCAACCATGTGACCTTTTCTTTCATCACACACATCTTGTAACATAACATATATGGAGTGCATCACATGAAGAACCAGTATGATGTAGTGATTCGATTGTCAGGCTAGCTACTGATCCCCACTCAGGCACATAACACTCTCTGTCGGCCCAACTTTCCCCACAGACGAGGATAAAATGGTGGAGGGGACATCCATGTGCGCTGTTCCAATCTCCTTGAAATAAATGGAACAGCTAATTTGTACAGAGCTACAATTCACATGTTTTTCCCCCTCCTCAGAAATAGAGGAAGGGAAAATGGAGAATCGCTTGAGGTTGTTATCTGCTATCTATTTTACATACATGTTTATGTACATTTTTGCTATTCATATTATTACCGACCCTCAAGTCTTTGAGATGGGCTAGTCATAAAACAAAGCAATGGAACCCAAAGCCCTCACATTTGTCTACATTGGAATCAATATCATGAGATGGAAAAGTACCCAAAGATGCCGGCGATGTTTTATAGGTTCTGTAGGACGACAGTTATAACAATGCTTAGCCAATATGGCAGTTGAAGGGGGAGTCTTACAAAAGTCTACAGAGAGCTCATTTGATAATTTCCTGAAACTAACACAGTCATAAGCTGTCAAATTGCAGTTCTGCCATCCAATCCCATGTATCAGGTCTTACCAACCTTGTTAGGAAACACAATAATTTCCTAACATCATTTGGCTTTCTGACATTTATTGGTTTATCTTTATGAAAATTGTGTGAAAGAACTTTTGGCTTACAATCCTCATCTCACAAATGGCTTCCAAATGGGATTCCAATATGTACTACCCTGGAATCCTCTTCCTTGCCTTATTGTGGGAGAATGCCCAACAAACTATGGCTGGAAGTTCTCCTTGACCTGAGACAACTTATTTTGTGCTTTTGTATCTCATCTCCAGCCTGGCCCCATGGAACATACCCAGTGCCTATCCACATAGCTCAGCAGATCTCTAGATGGCATCACATGTGGAAACCATCCTCCTAAACTAAACAGGGCATTTCAATAACAATATAAGAAGAGCCCAGCTGAATCAGACCAGTGGTCTATCTAATCCAGCATCCTGTTTCACAAAGTGGCCAACCAGTTGCCCTGGAAGGCCAAATAAGCAGGGCATAGAGGCTCGCCCCTCATGCTGCCTCCCAACTCTGGTATTCAGAGATTCATAATGCAATCCTTTCTAAAGTTGTTCCAATCTAAGCCCATTGAAATAAAAATCCAACTGGAGTAACTCTACCTCTGTAGATGGAGGTCCTCTTCAGTCACCATTAGGGTTGCCAAGTCAGAAACTTACCGGAGCGGGGGATTCCCGGCTGTCGTCTGGAGCGCGCACGTGCCGCATCCATGTCACCCGGAAGTGACGCGGGTACGCCGGGCATGCTGGGGCCGGGGCAAGGACCATCCGAGGGAAAACCATAGAGTTTTCCCTTGGATGGTTCTGGCCCCGCCCCCAGCGTGCCCGGCGTACCCGTGTCACTTCCAGTTGATGTGCACGTAGGGGTGGAGTTCCCCCTGGGGCCCGATCTGCCGGCAGCAGGGAATGGGCCTCTGGGGTGGGGGTTTCCCCGCCCCCCAGGGGGACTTGGCAAGCCTAGTCACCATGGTGTAGTCATTTGAATAGGAGTATACCTTCCATGTCTTTGCTAGACTGTGTTTGTCTTGGGATGTTTTGTGCTCCTTTTGTACCAGCCCAGATATTAAAATGTTAAAAATACCGTATCAAATCAAAGTAGACAAGCTTAGCATTTTTAGAGCTTGACTGCATTGTGGGGCGGTAAAATGAAGGATAATTTTCCCTGTGACGAGGCTACTGTAGAGAATAAGATCCTATTACCTGTACCAGGTCTATTGATCATTAACAATGTGTTCCAAGGCACAATATGACACAACAATGAATACAGGTAGTCCAATTGCTCCAGGCTTATTTCTTCAGGAAGCATAATAGGAATATGTTCCAAAAGCAATTGTTACAGGGTTCCACAGCTGGAGACAGGAAAGAAAAGCAGCTCACTGACACACATTTTTAGGTTTATTTAAAAAAAAAAAAAATGTCATGAAATGCATCCTGCTCTTAGCTATCATTGTATAATTTTACTGGGAGGGGGAGAGAATTCCACTGTTTTTTTCTGAAGCTCTTTCAGATTCATACCACATTATACTGCGACTCCAATACTGCTGAATTGAATTTGACAGGCTATCCTACCTTTACTTCTCAGTTCTGAGTTTATGTCAGGATGAGAGGAAAAGAAAACAAACAAACCATGATCAGAATGCCAGTTATTTAAAAAAATAATACTAAGCAATTATTTTGCTAGGATTATTCTTAGCCATTCAGAGTTTCATCCTGTAGCCTATATTCTCAAATACTTTTGTACACAAGAGTGATAGACAGCAGTACATGCAGCACTGGAATGTTCACCAATGATAAATCCACTCCCCACCATGAGTCTACCCTCAGTCCAATCTAAACAAAAAAGAGATGACAAAGGCCTTAGCTGTGAGACAATCTGGAGACCAATGGAACTTGTTGTTTGTCTGTATAGCTAGTGCTAGAAACATTCCAATGGAGTATTGTGGTGATTTTTAAAAGGATTGTTAAAAGAAGGTTGATTTTTGTACATCACTTTTCTCTACCCTCTAGTCTCAGAGTGGCTTACAATCGCCTTCCACTACAGTCACCTTGTGAGGCAGGTTACCATTTTCCATTTCTTTTATTAATGCTCACAGACCAATTAGTCATAAGCAAATAAAAATAAATATAAAATACATAGTTCCAAATACAATATTTACATTATAGAATATTACTAAATATCATGAGCAAAAATTTAACCACAAGAAAGG